GGACGCGGTGCGCACAGGCGCGCTCTCGCGGCGCTGGCGCGGCCTCTAGACGCGCGCCAGCTCCCTCACAACATTCGGCTGGCTGGTTCGTTTTTTTTTCTAGCCGGAACAGTGTTTTTCTCTCATAACATTTTAATACCAGCATAAACAGTGCCAGAATAATACCAGCTGAACACTCCATTCGACTCCATAGGCAGGCGGAAATTTAAAAGCGCCAGCAGCGACAAAAGGTTCCTCGACTTCGTCCACAACGCCCTCGCCCAGCGCGCCGAGACGGACGCCGCCCTCGACCTCGAGCACCTGGCGATCTCGTTCGCCATCATGTCTCCTGGTGCTGCGGTCCGCCGACGCTGCGCAGGAGTGGATTCGGTACGCGATGCAAAAAAACGGCGAAATCTTTCGTCCTTAAACTGTGGTTGTTGTCTATATGGAATTGTTACCGTCGTGAGATCGGCACAGGCAATGTCAAGGAGTTGTACCAGCTGGGGAAAGGAGCAGTTTTTTAATGCATGTGCTGCTCCATTTTTCACAGTTGTAGGGACCTATCATTAGCAGGCTGGGGTGCCGGTGTCCAGACACCTGATCTCTGTGCATGGGCCCATCTATATACCATCTATATACAATGTACTGGGTGCGGGTGTACTCACAAAAATATCAAAAAACAAGGTCAAATTTTCACCATATTCGCACCTATACGATAAAATCTTATGCACTCACAAGGCAAACACCCTCTCATATTTGCTCTAGCTCCGTCGTGTCTATGTGGCACCTTTTTTTAAGATACAACGTTATAGGAATATAAATTGAAGCGCTAAAAATCTGTTGGGCACTGTTGTCCTTTTGTTGAAGGTTAATGAATGGTTTATGAATACTGGAAATTCGATATCATCATAGGCAGAAAAGTATAATATGTAGTAGACATAGCAGAAGACAATATCTCAGGGGAATAAATATATACATATGGAGCAAGGGTTCTGAGGCTGGCATTCGTAAACCTGAAGATGACGTAGAAGGACCAACAGTTCTTCGTTGTTCATAATTCATAAATTTGCATCAGCCATATTGTACAACTGATTTACATCTAGGTCTGGACCAGGGCTTTCAAAAAATTTACAGGAAAAAATTCCCCAATTGACGTGAGTAAACACCGACATGGGGGAGGAAATGGATTTGGACCTGGTGATCATTGTTGGAGACGTACGGCCGTGTTCGGCTGGCCAGCCACCTCACAAAATCATTATTCACATCTTGCTAGAACAGTTTTTTTCTCTCACAACAGTCGTCGAAACAGTATTTTTCAGTACTGAGATGCCCGTATACGGTGCGGCGGATGATGTCGTCGTTGTGCCATGCTAGTGCAGCTGTTGGTCCGTCTGCTGACAGGTGGCCGTGGCCGCCGAACGCTCCGGCTCCACCCTCAATTATAGTACCATGATTTTGGAATTCGCAGCCAAATCAAAACATAAATATGGCACACACTGCAACGGCAGTAACATTAAGATGGAAGACTACGAAAATAGACAACAAATACCTATGTAATGGTTAACATTCTGATTTGTGTGCTGGTCCATGGAGGCAACAAAACATGGGGAACATTAATCAGATAAATGATGGCTCTGCATAGTATGCGTTGCAAAACGTTCTCGTTTTGGTATGCAGCATTAAGGAGTAATGGTAGATGGTAGATGTATGAGGACTCAGTCAAACAAATACGCTGGCCTAGCAAAATGTGATCTCACCTCCATGAGCGGAAGTCTTGCATGTCTATCCGTTCACCTAATTTGACAGAAACCCTGAGTGGCCATCAAATTCCTCAAGGGAAACTGCAGAGCAGCAGTACGGAATGAGGAAAGCAGAGTATGAGACGGAGAGGAGTAAGGTGAGGAGGCGGGTATGACCTCACCGTCTGGATGGATCGACCCGAGGGGCTGGGCACGCCGTCGGCCGTGTCCACCGCATACGACTCAAGGTGACTGCGATGGGGCACCGACGATGTGGCAGGAGACTGGAGGTACCTTCTATGGAGGCAGGAGGCTAGCCGGTTGGGGGCGGAGCCGCGGAGGGGCTGGATCGCCATGCCGGAGACTGGCTGCGCCGCTGCATTTGCGCACACATGCAGGCGCTGACGGCGATGCGTGAAGGGGTGAGCCCGCGGGCGGTAGGGCGAGCCGTACCGGTCAGGCCGTGCACCGGAGCCGCCGATGCTAAGCCTAGGGCGGCGGAGGGTGTCAAGGCGGCGCGGCCCCCGGCACGGGACGGAGCGCTGCGGCGGACGATAGGGACGGCCGACACACTGCCGGCTGGGGCGCCAGAGGGTGCGGGGGCGATGTGGGTCCAGGCGGGCCCCTGCGATGGGACGACGCGCGTGGGTGCGAGGCAGGTTGGGGGCGGCGGAGGGGGGGTGGAGCGTTGCGGCTGTGTCGCGGTATATGTCTATGTTTGGGTGGGCAGCGCGAGGTCTGTGGAAACTTCGAGCGGAGGCATGTTAGAGGGAGGCGACGCGGCACCTGATCGGACGGCCGGCGCGGCTAATCGGGCGGACGAAATGAATTGGTGACGTGGAAGTAGGAGTTTCTCGTTTTGGTATACAACATTAAGGAAGTATAGGTCCATCACGCGCGCCTTTACATGTCGGCGATTAAACAAAAATCAAATCGTGCAGGTAATGGTATTTATACCTTATTGTCGAGATCTCAATACAAACATAGTAAGCACCAGGAAATGCAGTGCAGAGGTAGCAAGTCTACTTATATTACATAGATGAATGCCATTAAGACGGCAATGTTTCCGGGTGGCAGCATAGGGTAGTGTTTTAGAGATACTACAACAGTGTATGCCATATGTCTAGAGACAGACTTTATAGTTTGCCATATAGCTTGCCATAGTGCCTTGGCAATGCAGGATGCTCATAATTTATTTGAACAGGCTATTCATCTGGTGAATGTTTTGGTTACAGTAACAGGAAAAACAAAAAAAATATGAATAGGCCATTTTTCTTGTTATTTGTCATGTCTTTAAAACTATATATAGAATCAGATTTTCATGATTTCAAATAATTTAGCTGCAGATATTTCATATATGTAGTATGTCACCTGCACATGATCTACAACATGGAAGTATTTTACTCTTCTACTAAACCTTGCATTTACAAAAGAAAAACATGGTAGAAGAACGTAGCAAAATATGGAACAAAATACAGATGAAATTCAAATATCTGAGTGAAGGCATTTAGATAGGTAGATAACAATATAAAAACATCACTAAAAGGTAAAACTTCCAAAGTCCGATGAAGTCTCAGCAGTAACAATGCCCTTTTCATCTAGGGAAACCTAACTATTCTTGAGCCTAGAGGAGTGGAGGAGTGCCCATCAATCGGGCCCTTACACCTAACCTTAACAAACAGAATAGAAGGGACTTTGTCCCCATTGTGCAGCCATCCATCCTGCAACTTCTTATAGGCTTCCTTGATCTTGTCTTGCTTCTCACACAACACATGCGCAGCTGCAGACGGAGGACCACCAATCAGCCTCTGTTTACTTGGAACCAAAACACGTAGTAGCTGCTATCTGACGGAGTTGCCAGTCAGTGGAACGCCTGATGTGCACGTAAAATGATCGATCAGAGGAGATGCTCATCACCAGCCTGCATTGCCCGAATGTTACAACTTCAGGTAGAGTAGAATTTAGCAAGCTTAGATGGAGGTTTTGGGACACAGTGGACGGACCAAGGCCTCGGAGGAGGAGCGCGCGAACGGAGGAGACGATGATCCTGTGCCCCATTCGCTGGTCTGAAAAAAGAAGCTAAAATACTGTAGCGGCTGGTTATTGTAAGAGAGGAATGCTGTAGCGGTTGGTTGATGAACAATGTTATATGAGGAGGAGGAGCCGGCTGGTCTGGAAAAAACAGACCAGCTAACGGCGCCAGGTAACTGGTAAATTGGTAATAGGAATGGATGCGCATTGCGCAAGGCGAAGGTGATGAACTCGACAAAGGAACATGCCACGTCGAGTCGAGGGCAGAAGAATCAGCCCATCTAGCCCACCTGGTTTTTCATCGCTCCATTCCTTCAGCATCCCACTCCGGGTCTCCGGCTACCATCTCTCGCCCCCGCCGCCTTCTCCCACTCCCAGTTCCGATTCAATGAGAGACAGCAGGTAAGGAGTACGCCTCGTCCTCGCTACGACAGACGACGTAAGATTGTCCAAGTGGAGCGGAGGGAGACAATGCAAAGAGGCCCTTCGACGCAGCAGCAGAGGCCGCCATTTCCACAGCAGGCTACACAGAATCAAGAGCAGCACTGAAACCATTGCCGCCAGGAGTAGGAGAGTAGCATCAGTATCGGAGACTTGTACGCTTGAAGCCGTCGTTGTCTATAAACTAAATCCGTGCCAGAATTATTTGAGCTAAATACCTTTTGTGAGTTTGTCCTTGTGACTTTTGACCGGAAACTTTTTTTTAGAATACTTTTGACCGGAACTTGTAAGTTCACATGTAAGCTGTGCTTCAGAATTTCTGACTGAACCATTATTGCTGTCCTGAAATTTTTGATGCTGCCTGGAAATTCCTCTTGATCACTCGGTCTTGTTGTTGCTGGCCTTGTTCAGAACAGAGCACATTCTCCTCTGCTGGCGTTGGCGGTTGCTACACCTGGCCAGGCCTTTTGCTCTCCTGGGTTTTCCCGTATGAGCTTGGCGCGATGAGCGACCTCAAGGAGATGAGGTGAGCGCTTGCATCAGCGTTCCTCGGACGGAACGGAAGCTAAGCCTGCTTAGGAGCCGTCGACGACATGAACATTGGGATCAACAGTAACAAAGCTAAATATACTCCTGCTATGCTAGCTGGGAATAATCTTGTTGTGAAGGAGGTTAAGCCCTCTCAGCTGGTTGTGTATATATAAGCCTAATAACGTCTTGGAGATGAGAGATGCAGTGGCAGTGCTTCGTCGTACTAGTGCAGACTGACACATAGCGGTCGTACTGCACGTAGCTGCAACTGCAAGCATGGCCTCCGTCAACTTGTCCCTCACAGTCGTCGTTGCCCTCTTCTCCGGTAGGATTCCACATGGCTTAGCTTCTTTTTCGTTGTTTTCATTAATAACAGAAGACAGAAGGTTATCATTTACTGTACAAATGATCATCTAAGGTTTTCTTCTTTGTGTAACTTATTTAAATGATTAGGATTTCTGATACTGGGGGCGACGGTCGGCGAGGACGAATGCGGTTACTTGTGCGTGGAAGGAGCGTACGTCACGTGCGCCAACTATCCGGGGCAGCAGTTCCCCGGGTGCAACTGCGTGTGCGCGCCGTCGGACGGCCAGGGCTGCGTCGTCCACGGCCCCGACGTCCCCGACGAGCCCTGCACAAAATGAACCATCCGATCCATGCAACCTGCTGCTCATGTTAAATTAATGCAGTAACTAGTTGTTGGTCCAATTGGAAATTTGTTTTCACCACATTTCAAGCTTGTTTGTTTAGCGACTAAGCTTTGTCAACACTAATGCTAAGCCAAGTGGCCATCCGACTAAGCTTTGTCAACATAATCGTAAGCCAATTGGTGATCGGGCTGATCGCAGCAAAAGCGTCGGGAGTAAAAATAAAAAAATGGGTCCACACAGCATTGGACTCCAAGTTTTCTTTTCGTTATCTGAGTCGTTTGTTGACGAGGGAGTAGCTATTTTGCTACACGCTGCAAGTAATCGTCGAGATTCCTCTTTCTCGGAATTGGATAAGTCCGAAACTTTTCTATGTATCTAGAAAAATGGATGCACGCAGCATTTGCTCTCTGCATGATGTAACGTTTCGTGAATTGACTGTGGGCCTAAATGTTGTTGAACCAATGACTACGGGCCTAATCTTACAGACTACGGTAATCCACTAAACCTGTCCAGACACTCTGTTGCTAGCCACGACGCCACGCTTTTTTGTTTTTTTAAAAAAGTGCTCATCCACTCGTTCCTCTTCCTATCGATCTTATCCGTTCGCCTGCCGCCTCCGAGCGCATGGAGCTGGCCCTCCGAGGCTCAGCGTGCGACTGTATCCATTCTACCGTCATTCTGCCGAGCAATAAGGAGATGTTGCGTTGGAAGCACATGTTGTAAGAGTATGTTTCAATTATTTCAGATTTATGTTACAAATGTTTTATATGGATGCTGCACATGTTGCAATGGTTGTACACGTATGTTGTAAGTGTCCGTTCTAAATGTTTCATCTGTTTTTCCAGACGTAAGTTGCAAGTGTGCCTATTTGGATGTTGCAAATGTTTCACACATATATTGCAAGAGTATGTTCGAAATGTTTCAGCTGTTTCAGTCTTATGTCGCAATAAGTGTTTTAATGTTGAAAGTTACAAGTGTTTTATCTGAATGTTGCATACGTTTCATACACATGTTGTAAGTGTATATTCCAAATGTTTCATCTGCTTAAGACATATGTTGCATTCAAGTATTTCATGTTGCAAGTGTTTCGTGTTTTAGAAATATGTTCAGAAAGTCATGGGGCCATGGCCCGGACGCCGAGGGAAGGGGCGCGGTGAGCCGGAGGCCAACGGATGGACGCGCGACGCGCCTGGGGTCCTGCGGACGGGCGTGCTCGTCCTCATCCCGGCTCCCGAGTCCCGCCAGAGAGAGAGAAAGGAGGGGGTCAGGGGGAAGGAGCGGAGGGCGTGGGGCGGGCGAGATGGATGGGGTAGGGTTTGCGTGCGTGGTGGGACGAGGTAGACATGGAAGGACTACAACGATACCATGGGAGTGCGGCGTGTTTCTGCTGGGCCGTCCGATGGAATCCTATCCCATCAGAGTCCGGTGCCGCAATTTCTGACGGACTAAGCACAATGCGCGATTGTCTGGACAACAAACTTGGGGACCCGTCGGCCGAACGAACCATGCATGGCGCGAACCAGAGCACACGCACGACCAAGACGTGTCGCGTGTAGGATGTGCAGTGCAGGCGCGGTGCTCGGCGCCACTAGAGATCTGGGAGACGCCATCCGCTCCACCGTCAGTACTGGAAACGCGTGCTTTGCCGAGGGCCCGAGGCTTTGCCGAGAGCCAAATCTCGGGCACTCAGCAAAGACACTCTTTGCCGAGGGCTCCTGTGGCTGGCCCTCGGCAAAGAACGGCTCTCGGCAAAGAGGCCTTTGCCGAGGGTACGGCTCTCGGCAAAGACAGGCCAACGGCAAATCAAATCTTTGCCGAGGGCCGCGGCCCTCGGCAAATTAGGCCCGTTGGGTCATGGCGACCATTTCCCGTCAAGCTTTGCCGAGGGTCACCCGTTAGGCCCTCGGCAAAGGTTTTTTTCTGTTAAACCAGCTTTTTCGGCAAATTTTTTTTAAGTCTTTGCCGAGGGCCCTAGACCAGGCCCTCGGCAAAGATTTTTTTAAAACCAGTTTTTCGGCCAAATTTTTTTTTATAAATCGTCTTTACCGAGGTCCCGAGGCTAGGCCCTCGGCAAAGAAGCCCTTTGCCGAGGGCCAGGATAGGTCCTCGGCAAAGATTTTTTATTTTTATTTTTTTAAAATTCTTTGTCGAGGGCCACGGGCCAGGCCCTCGGCAAAAAGAAAATTTGGTTTTTTTAGCCCAGTTTTTTTGTGGTCCTACAATACATTGTTTTGAACTCAATTTTAAAATTTAGGTCAATTTTGATTTTGTTTTGTATATTTTCTTAATTTATTTTGATTCTTTGATTTTTTTTGAATCTGTCAAATTTGAGCTGCAGGTGCATGGAATATTGCAATGTAGTGTTTCGAAAAATGTTATTTATGTTAATTGGTGCATGTTGAGTCTCTATCCACGAACTCGTATCAAATTTCGCGCATCTAGTTCGCGTAACATGACGACCAACTTGACAGAAAAGTGTTTTAAAATTATATAAAATCCATACGAAGTCCGAAAATCACGAAACTTGGTGAGATGTCATGTTATCTCATGTGTAGCCTGTGGTAAAAAATTGAGAAGGTTTCGAGCGAGTTGCGACGTCGGATGCCTGAAACCCAGACATCTCCACATGTGTCCCCTACACATGAGATAACATGACATCTCGCCAAGTTTCGTGATTTTCGGACTTCGTATGGATTTTATATAATTTTAAAACACTTTTCCGGCAAATCGGTCGTCATGTTACGCGAACAAGAGGCGCGAAATTTGATGCGAGTTCGTGGATAGGGACTCAACATGCATCATGCACCATGCACCTGTAATTCAAATTTGATATATTTGAAAAAAATCAAAGAATCAAAATAAATTAAGAAATATACAAAACAAAATCAAAATTGGGCTAAATTTTAAAATTGAGTTCAAAACAATGTATTGTAGCACCATTAAAAAAAATGGGCAAAAAAATTTGCCAAGGGCTCTTTTTGCCGAGGGCACGGCCAGTGGCCCTCGAGAAAGAATTTTTTTTGGTCATAAAAATCTTTGCCGAGGGCCCTGGATCTGGGCCCTCGGCAAAGGACCAAACTCATCAAATCGGGTCATGCCCAAATTCCCGATCGAAATCTTGTGAAAAAAATCCCGCTCGACCATCTCCTCCCCACGTGCTCTCGTGGGTCGGCCCCTGCTGTCCACCACCACGCCGCCACAAGCTTGTCATGCTGCTACCTTGCCAGTGGGCTGCCCGAGCCCCGCCACCCATGCTTCCACCTTCATAGAGCACCCTTTGCCTCCTGGCCGCCACACAGCCCGTGGCACAGGCAGGACCCCATCGTCACCACATTGTCATGTCATGCATTGCCATCACACAGCGCCCCATACCACCAGGAGATGAGGTGCCACCTGTGCTTCCGCCCTACGCCCAGCGTGGCAGGTCACGCCAGCGTCCGTTCCCGTCTCCGTCGAGCAGGGGCGTCGGCCGCCCCGGCCCTCGGTGGCTCCCCTGCAAGCCCTTCCCGCCCGACCCCAGCCCCTAGGCCGCCCCCGTCGCCGGCTGCTGTTGGAGGGGAGGAGGCATAGGGTGAATTTGGAGGAAGAAGAGAAGGAGAAGAGAAGGAGAAGAGGAGAAGGAGGAAGGGGAAGAAAAGGAGAAGAAGAGAGAAGGAGGAAGGGGAAGAGAAGGAGAAGAAGAGGAAAAGGAGAGAAGAAAGGAAGAGGGGAGAGGAGTACTCAACGCCGCTTGACCTCGCCGGTGAAGAAAGTGACCCCGCACCTACTCCACCGCAACCCTAGGTAAAACTCTCGTTGTCGGCCTTCGTGCCATATGTGGTTGTGTGGGCCTTCGTGCCGTAAGTTGATATGAGGGCCTTCGTGTTGTGGTTGTCGGCCTTCGTGCCGTTGTGAATGTCGGCCATCGTGTCGCTTTTTTTTGCGTCCCGTGTAGGGGAGGTGCTTTGCCAAATTTTGAACAAAAAATAACCTATTATCTTTTTATGCAGGAGAAGAGTACGTCGGAGGGGACCTGGAGGACCCGATCGTCTTCGTCGATGTCGCGGTTCTATCTGCGCTGCGTCGCCTTGCCACTGCGTCGATTCGCCACTACCCCGCTAGCCTTACTTCACCGACACCCTAGGTATAAATAACCTCTTTTTGCGCATGTCTGTCGTTGACCGCGCGTAACCCAGTTAGGCGTCTCCCGTCCGAAAGAGATACGGTCGTAGGTATGCGGATCTTTGCGTATCTGCGACCGTATCTGTTTCGGATTGTCCACGTTTTTTGGACAGCTCGTGGATGCGTAGATGGGTTAGTTTCCATGGTCCGCTCCGGTCTGAGGAGTTTCGGCAACACCTCCCTATTGTTCTTCGGATACACACTCTCCCTTGCAGGACGTGTATCAGGAGAACAGCGGGGAGGTGCTACCGAAATTTTGTCTCGGAGAGGAGCGGAGCATGGAAACTGACCTCATCTACGCATCCACGGGTGGGATTAGGACCTATCCTCACCTATTAGACAGTAGGAACATCGCGTAGATGCAATTGATGGTCACAATACTCTATGCTGTAAATGTTAAAGGATGGAGGACTGTCAGTGGATGTACACGGGCTGGAGAAGCGGGAGTGACTATGACTATGAATGGGTGAAGGGGACAGATGGTTTCTTGAAACATGCATTTGGCCCAGGAGCAAGAGGACATTCTCTAGTTTGGTGTCCCTGCAGCAAATGTGACAACATGAGAAAAGTAGACGAGAAGACCATGGGTAGGCATCTTGTGTTCAATGGTTATACGCCTGGCTACCAGCAGTGGATCTACCATGGTGAAGCAGATCGTATAAGAGCGGAGGTGGTGAGACCACGCCTCGAGGCTTTTGATGATGATGCCGGGGTAGCAGACATGCTAGATGACGCCCACCAAGCTCACTTCGCTGAACGACGTGAGAAGGAGGAGATGGAGGAATCCGCAAAGGACTTCTACAAAATGTTGGACTCGCACGTAAAACCCTTCA